TAAGGAAGTTTTCATTTTTTTACAAACGAATCTTTTTAGTTTTCACCCTTCGTCTTCATTCCTTCCCCGTTGACTTCTCTTCATACACCAAAATTAGAATGTGTGGTTGCTAGCTCTATTAAATGATAAAAGTCTCATCCCTTTTTATAAAATGGAAGCTTTCACGAGCCTCAACCAATTTTCATCCATTCATCCATTGTCAAAAGAAAGCATGGCTTTCAAGCTCCATCGATGAGAAAATCCCTTTCCCTTTGCGAACGAAGCTCCACGAGCCTTCAACCTCCTCATCCTCTTCCCATTATCTTTTTCCCATTCATCTACTATCAAGAGAAAGGTTGCAACCTCCATCAACAAGGAAGTCTCATCTTGTTGATGAAAAAAATTCCACGAGCCTCCACCCTTTTTTATGTTATTTCATCAGTGGCTTCATAAACATAGGGCATTGTTGTCGGTTTCATCGACGATTTTTTCTTATTATTTTATTGAATAGATTAAATATTTAGTAAGAGAAAAATGAATAAAAAAAACAGTTCATATGGTATAGATAAATCCTTTTCTTATATTGGGTGTCCATGTGAATAAGAATATATTATATCATTGTCCACGTATTTGATATTTGATTATATTAATTTTGTAACGGTCCCGAAAATTTAGAATTAAATATGTGTATTAAAAATGTCAAATGCGGAAGCGTAATAAAAATTTTGATTAACATCCCTTACACTGAAACCAAAAACGTGCTCAAAGTATAAAAGAACAAACTAACTAAAAGAGAAACTCAAAAATAAAAACTATAAATATAACTACGGAGTCTTTAGGCGTCCCCTTCGCCGTCTTCCTGCGGAACGGGCTCGGGAACAATGTCTTTCTGATCTGAAATGGTTAAATAAGGAATGAGCTACACCAGCCCAGTAAAGACATCACATTATCTCACCGCCACGGAGGTAAAGGTGGGTAGAAAACACAAAAAGACCAATGGAGCATAATTTACAATAAACTCATTTATCAGTAATAAAACCTTTACCATTCACTTACCTCGGTGAGATCTATAAAACAACATACGAAAGCAATAACATTATCATCATCATGAAATCATATAAACTGTATAACATAATACTTATTACGCCTTTGCAATT